AACTGGTCTAGATGGAGCCAGTAATGTGTTCGTTTTACCCCAATATGTCTCCCCAAGTCAACATGATGCTACAGTAGAACCTTGATTATCGGAAACTCCCAAATACAGATTATGGGAACACAGAATGAGTAGACAACGGTGATGTTGTTACTTCTACTTCCACTAATTTATAAAATAGTGGATCTCCTGGACCAAATACCCGAAAAACCATTCACCAGAATGGACTCCTGTTAATTCGGATAATCGAGATTCTACCGTATATTAATTTCTTGGTTCAATGATTTATCGCACCAATTTTCCTTTAATAATCACAATTCATTGGTAGATCTATAATAAGACTTCTGCCACTCAGATAAAGGTCATAAAAGTGGTCTACAGTGGGGGAAGTGACCTTGAGCGTCCATATGATTTTCTCGGAACTATTTTGACACGTAACGTGGAAATTCGTGAAAACGCAGTGGACGATTTTTGTCAACCTCCTTAAAGCTAAGTCGAGTCCTATATCCGTAGGAGACCGTGGGAATCATTCTAATTAATACAAGACACAATCGGTGAATAAATAATCCTCATTCACGCTTTTGATGTTCGACGCTCGTTTACGTTACGAATAAGATTTCAATTCCTGCGTATCAATAAGGTAATGACGACGCTTTTACGCGTATATAAAAACCGAATCCAAAAGTCGAATCGCTATACAAATTGTACTAAATGGCGAGCACGAATTTCGGGATGATGTAGCATGGTAGTATCGACGCTTTCGCGGACGACGACGACGACGCGATATTATGTTTTTTCGTGACCAAAAACTGGGAGACGATTATTATTATGTTTTTTTCTATTATAACAATAATCGACGGTGATAAACTATGTCCTCACGGTGTTAGAAATTGCAGTTGCTAGGCGATGGGTATAGTCACCGACAAAAGTTAAGAAACAAATTACAGGCTTTGTAATGAATAATAGATTCCTTCATCAATTCCATATGTAACTGTTTGAACAATATAGTATAAAGCATAAAATGAAGAAGTATATAAAATCGACGTATGCTGTCGTCTATAAGTCACTGGTTTCCTGGTTCTTTTGAAAAAATAAAAATTTGTTATTTAAATACAATTTTCTGAAATATTTTTACTCTTTGTTTTGTCTTTGTGTAAGAAAATAATCGTATGTAAAGAACACATTTCGGAATTCGTTAAAGAGATTAGAAAATAATAATCAGCTGCAGCTTATGTAATATTTTTCACTTAAATGCTACCGTAATGTTATTACATTAATTAAATAGGCAATTAAAAAATCCTTTGAAAATTCATCGAAACCATATGGACGAGTCTGAGGGAAAGTGACAATGTATATAGTCGGCAAAATGGTAAAAAATCGATTGTTAAATTACCATAACTAGTTCGAAACATCACTGCTAAACGATATTATTAGAAAAGGTAGAAGAAATTTAAGATTGCTTAATAATAAAATAGTATTTTGTTATTTGAGGGATTGTATGTCACTAATTCGTCCTTACTACATTTATTAACACAAGTATCCGATGACTTGTGGACGACAGTGTAGATTCACTATGTAGAAACGTGAACAATAAATGTATTTCTTAAAATTCTTTTGTCCTGTAACTTGTGTTGGTAAGCGTATAGGGTGTCCCACAAAAATCGTTACAAGTTATTTTCTTCAAAGCTACTGCGGATGTCGACGTGATTCTTTTTAAATTGAATGGTTCAGGAAGCTAATCACTTAGGGTATAAAATACATTTCTATTTACATATAGAACATTTTTTTGTAGGGCTATGTAAAGAATCAAGTGATGAGTCCAATACCTATATCGAAAGGAGACACGAAGAGAAGAATACAAAGCGCTCCTAAATAGATAACTCGAAAAATGTTGTTAAATTTTAACCGTATACGTTTATTTTCCTATCTCTTGTTACGTCCGTAATGAATTGCTACGACCATCTCTCGTTCCCGAGGAAAATACTATTAGAGTGTTCGAGAAAACCCAGAAATTGTGCCCGAGCGTTGGCCGGGCGTTTCCACACCGTGCATACTTGGGTCACCCAGGGCCACCGTAATGAATTAAGTACGAGCCGGAACGTACCACTCCAAATGCAGAAATCTTCAAGGATTTTCTCTTCGAAGATTTCTGAACATCGGGGTGTTGCGTTTGGGTTGTGTTTTCGGCGTTTTCTCACGTTGGAGAAATCGCGCAGTGCCTGAAATTGGCTCAGTACGTGGTGATGGTGGGAAATGACCCGCAGACGTTCGGCATTGAATTTTTACATGGAAAACCCCGAGGACAGGGGGTGGAAACGGGCATCCTAAACAGGCTCGCACTGGAGAGCTCGGGGTCAGTTTTATACAATCAGTTGCCGAGTCACTTCGTAATAATACCAGTTCCTCGAGTCATTTGAACGTGTATTTCTTTTAACATTGAATACAATTCAGTAAAGACTTTTATCTTAAGGAAATAACTTAACATTTATTTCTGCCCACACCATCGAAGTGCCTATCCTAAGATTAATTCCCTAAATGGATTGACCGAAACAGGGGACAAGTAAAAAATTTGGTTGTGAAAATTCGCAACACTTTCGACGCCTCTCCAAAGTTTGTCCTGAGAAAAGTATTCTTCGCCATAACCCCTTGACTATTCAGAATTAAAATAGATGTTTTAGTTAAACGAGGTTGGGTTGGATAACAGCATTCCGGATAAAGAAAAATGCTACCCTATTAAGAAAATATGAGTGCCCCTTCCTCCTTTAAGAGACTCTTCCCATCCAAATATTTGATACCCTAAATCATTAGCACCCCTCCCACCCTCCCTGAACCATTCAGTTTCCACACACTTTATGCGGGACACCCTGTATATTCAATATCCTTTCTAAATTGAAAGTATCAAAATAATATTGTGCAATGTTTTTGCTCACTTTTGTTTTCACTTAACTAATATTTTTAGATTTTAAATTGTCGACCGTGGCTCCCAGGTTTAGGTACATTCAAGAATTACTTGCGGCGAAGGAATTGGCGATCGCGTCTGACTCAGCATTGGCAGTAACTACTTAAAGCATCGTTTCTCAAGCATAAACATATGATGATGACGAGTACATTTACACTCAGTAATAATGTAATTTTAATAAAACGACAAATTTTTTAGAGGAAGGACGATAATACAAATGATAGAAATAGTGCGTTACAAATTTTCGTGTAAAGGGAAATACAAAAGGATTTTATCAATTTACTGTGCTTTCATTTGTTTTATATGTTTTAATCACTTGATTCGATGATAGTAAATTGTAAACAGAAACTGAAACTGTTCAGTTGAGTTATATTGTTTATTAAAAGAATAGTGAAAATATATCATAAGAAACGAAGAATTTCACGATACATTAGAGCCTGAATTCTTCAGAGCAGAAACAATAATGTTGCTACGGAGATACAAGAATTAGTAAATTTACAGATAGACAACAAAATTAAATGGTCAACAAATGTTACAAAATTAAATGGTCAAGTCAGCCGTATTGGAATAATTTATAATTTTTTGTTCCTTAACCTAAATGATACTTCTTTATTGTAACGTAGCAGACATTGATAAGAAGTAAAATGGGAGAGTTAATAAGAAAACTGGACATAAATCTTGACAATTGTTTTTCTTTTGTTGTAAGATTTACCGAATAAAAACAACTATGTTTCTGTTTTTCTTGTTAAAACAGGAAACTACATAAGGTTTCGTCATGGTTCATTAATGAATATACATTAACTGGTTATGTTTGGTTTATATGTATAGGGTGAGCTGATGAAAATGAATCACAGAATTTAGCACACGAGAAAATGTACCAAACATAACCAGTTAATGTGGTGAATACATTGAAGGTTTAGTAACGAATGTGTTCACTGAACATCTCATCTTGTACTATTTATATTAAAGATTTTTAAATCAAGTGTAAGAAATAATTTTGTGTAGATGATCTGCAGAAACTTTGTGCAGCATATATTACATGTAATAATAAAACGAATACTTTTATACAACTTTGTATGAAACTTTATAATCCACACTCACGATTCCATAAAACTTAACATTAACACATAGGAATAAACTACAATTTTGAGAAACGTTGCTTGAAGCGTTATCGATCTTCTTCATTTTCATTATGCGAAGGAACATTCCACTAGGGGTGTTTGTGCAGCACGAACAAAGTGATACTTGCAGAAACATTCGTTGACAACTATTCCACATGTGCATTACTAGCTGCTAGTAGAAGAAATTATTAAAATTAATTTTCTATTGAAGTACATTAATTTTTAAAATGATGTGTTATCATTACAATCATTTAAATAGAATAATTTTCAATAAATGTAAGACTGAAACATAAGTTTTCGCGATGTAGAATCTGCGAGCAGCTAATGTTCTACACACAGTTTCGGCAATACCGAAGATTTCAATCCTGATCTCTGAAGTTTCTCTTAACTTAACCCCGTAAATCGGAAATGTTCCCTTGCCAGATACATAGAACGCTACAAATAACTGGTACTTATCGGAAAACAATATTTATCGACACCGAGACTAGACAAAACGTACGGACCAGAGGTATTGGTCGTTTCTAAATAACAATAAGATCGTCGTGTTCGAAGAGAATTAAAAATATCTACAGGCTAGAAGACGAAATCCGGGAGCACATAGTAGAATCGTTGACGGAGTTCTGTACAAAATATAAACAGACACGTGTGTACCTGATTCGTTCACGAGAATAAAATCTCGACGGAGCTTGTAATTATAAGTCTAACGCTATCTGTGATGATGGATTCGATCGATTATGCGACGATTATTCAACAATTATTGTTACAAGATGAACTCGATAATTTGTGCAACGGATTACAGTAAAATCTCGCGGGTACGAGCTAAATTGTTCCGGCTAAGGCGCTTAAAACAGCGTACGAAAGGAGATTAATATTTCGGTTGTACGATTTTTCATTAATTCTTACGCGAGAATGAATGGCTGCCGTGATGTTAGTAATAGTGTCGAGTGGTTTGAAGAATCGTAAATTTCACGAATATATGCGACATGATCCACGCGATGAATTTACGAACGACAATCGAGACGACGATGACGATGGCTGGCGAATTTGTGATTTGCGACAATGTTCGTTAGGAACCGGATACGGGATGGGGCGAAGGACACCGCAAAGGATCTTCGCTGCTTCGACTTCTTTGCTTCCTTGTGCGGTGAATCGGCCTGTGTCAACCAATCTTTATCCACCGATCGATCGAATATTCGAGGGCTGCGAGCCATCTGCCAAGTGGACAGTTCGGTTAATAAACATTATTCGCGTGAAAACTACTATAAACACTGATTTCATTTTATATACCAGGTTCCATTTTATTAATTGCTGTTTTATAGTCATTTCTTTAAAATATAAATAATTCATTATAATTTTATTGGACAGCGGAACAAAATACTTAGATTAAGCTTGAAAATTAATAATCGGACATAAAATCAAGCATGAAAAGCTAACAAGTAGACTGCGGTTGTTTATGCAATATAACATTTTATAATGTAATTCATAAAGACAAAAACCGAATTTGGAACTTTTATCTACCTTTAACTCGTTCGCTACCAGCCGTCACATATGTGTGACACATCGGTTTGTTATCAGAGCCCGTCGTCACATATATGTGCCAATTTAAAAGAATGTTTATTTTACTTTTTTAAGACGTTTTAAATATAAATACGTAAAGTCTATTCCAATTGGTATCATATAATCCCGAAAAAACCATGGGCTGTGGTGGACGTTTTTCCCATGAGACCCTGGTAGCAAACGTGTTAAGTATCTTATTGGGTTAAAAATAAAATAGAAAACTCGTTGCATCTGCCGTAAGTTTTGTTTTTTGTTGTATCACACAAAGCTCTATACGCTATAAATTCATAAAATCCGCAGTCCACGAATAAGGTATAGAACCAAGGAGAGAGAATAAGTGTCAGTTATAAAATGAAATAGAAAAATGTACCATATGAAGTATAAAATCAAGTATGAAAAGTATTAATGAGGAATAAAATGAAATGTAAAAAGTATTAGTCATTAAATTAAGTATAACCATTTATATTGAAGCTACAAATTATACAGGGTGAGTCAATAAAAATTATTACCTGAAATAACTCGTTATCTATAGACTTTATCAAAAAATGTTTCAAATGAAATTTATTATATTCAGTGGAATTGATCACACGAATGGAGTTTAATTCTTTAAAACCTTATATTTTCTGAAATATCAAGATAACTTTGAGTTTTCTGTACGGCAACGTAATTTTTTTAGGGTACTCCAGTATAGCTGCTAAAAAATGAATTCAACGACCAATGATACGGTAAATTTTTGAACCACAAAACGAAACGAAAATTTATGGAGTATAAAAATGCATTAACTGCTGAAATAACTGCATTATTTACTTTCAGTTTTTCCGATTAAAGTAATATAAGTACTAGGCAAACACCTTTTATAGTCGTTGGGAGTGAAATAGTGTCATCGCAGGTACAATTAAGCGTATAAGAACACGCGTTTCGAATATCAAAATAGTAAACGGTCATAACTTCGAATATGTACACTTCAAACGTTCAACCGGAAACAATGAAAGTAAGTAATATATTTATCCTCCACAAATTTTAGTTTAGTTTTGAGGTTCAAGGTCAACAAAAAATCGTCTTGGGAAAGGTCGTTGAATTCACCCATTTAGCGGTTACAACAGTCTACCATAAAAAATATGCGGTGCCATTTAAAAAACTCAAAGTCACCTTAATATTAGACATCACCAAATAGATATGGGATATATTAGCGTATCAATTCAGGTAGTTTCGACTTCAGGAAAATTACTATTTTGAGAGGCCCACCGCGAGACTGATGGCCAATATAATTAGATTAACCGTATAATTAAGAATGTAAATAAATTCTGAAAATCGGTGGACTTATTTAATTACAAAACCTCTTTTAGGTATAGAATGTACAACACAGTGTTACCTATCGATTATAAATTACTGATTTAATTACCGAATTTACCGATTTTAAAGCTGTGTCTACAGTATGCAGGAAAATAGTGTTATATAACCTTGATCTTGCTATAAAACATATTTGTATAACTTGTTACAAGATTATATCTTCTGGACAAGTCTGTAAAAACTTTGTATAGCATTTCCATCATATTATTAATAATGGCCTCAAACTTGATGGGTTACATATAACTTGCTATATAATACGAAAACTGTTATATAACATGTTTCTTTCTGTTTTTCCAATAATTTGTATAACTTGCATATAGTGTAGGTGTAGACGTAGCTTTACTGGGTTGTATACTAAAGGGTTATATACCTAGGGATGAACCAATCCAAGTACATACAATTAAATAATCGATACTTTTATTTCGATATCGAGTATTTTTAGTATCGATACTTCCGGTTACGGTATGTACTCGGTATCGAAAAAAACTACTTATATCGTATAGAGCAAGTAATCGATATGATAGCTAATAAATGCAAAGGCGGTTGTCATCCAGTTATAAAACATTGTTAATAAATGTGCGTTAATAGATGTTTATTAATAAAATATATCTTCGTTAATATCAGAGACGGGCAAATTCATTATTTAGATAAAGATTTTCGAACGACGAATGAAAGATAAAAAAGTACTTCGTTATTTTTCATCGTTCAAACATGGAAATTCCAATTATTATAACAAAACAATACTTTTTCCTGAATGAGTCGACACTTGGCAAAAAATTATTTAATCACATTAACTGTTTGAAGTTTAGGATAACGCTTTTAGATACTGTCGTTTTTCACTATGTATTATTCGAATACAAATCTGCTCAAAGCCGTGTAAAATATACTATATTACGAAAAAAAAACTTTGTATTCATTTTCATTTGATACAAGTAGGTATCGATACTTTTTTACGATACAAGCAGGAAAGGTATCGATACCTTGACGGTATCGGTTTACCCCTATACATGGGGTGTGTGTACGTATATATCCGTATATGAATAAATAAATAAATAAATAAATGCAACACTGTTCTAGGGGCTCATGCGGATATAAAAGATAAATTTAAAAACAGAAATGATTGACTATTTACCGTTTCTTATCCATTTCGGATTCTGTAGCAAAGATGTAGCTCCTCTGCGTAGGATCCGGCGATTGCAGTTCGAACGCGTGTTTTCTGCCGCCGGAAGTCGGAGCGCTGCCGTGGACCCGGAACCCGTGAAGACAGGCTACCCCGAACGCTTTCTCGGCGTTCGCGTCGTCGTAGAAATACAACGCGGCGTCTTTCAGCACACAGTATCGTCTGGACCAACCGGTCGGCGAAGACGTTTTCCTTGCGTGTTCTTGCTGCTTGCTCAGGTATCCGAAACAATCTGGTCTTTGAATCGCACACGCCGCCATTTCGCGCATCCTCAGTGACGCTTCAAGCCAGGTGTCGACCTGTGGAAGACCACGGGAATGTTAGACGATGCGATACGGTAGAATGCGAATAAAACGATTAACACGTTGAGCGCCACGCGTATTTCTAAGACAATCCCGTTCAGGCCACAAAACAAATTTTATAGTTCTCATGTTACACGCTGTCAGCCACCGATGGGTGACGCGGCCTAAACGGAAAGTCTAGTGTCAGCCACCGATGGCTGACACGGCGCTCAACGTGTTAAAGACATCTGTTGCGAGTGTCAAAATTGGGTAAAAGTTACGTCTAGGGGATGCAGGTTTGATGACCTTGTCCTACGTTTTTAAAGACACTCTTCTGAGTAACCTCCAAGAAGTTTTAACCATCACTCGTTTGTTTTATTAAAAACTTATTAGGAAAAAAAATGTACAACATTTACCAGTTACTCTAACCACAGACGAGATATAAGGATAGATCTAACATGCACTGTAATTTTCTGTTCCATGCTTCGGGGTCGTCAGAAGCCCCCGTACCATTTCAGAATTCCATTCCTTGCTTGCGAAATCGGGGCAATAATGTATGTATGTATCGCTATATGCAGTCATGTGTGTGTGTGTGTGTGTGCTGTACATTATCACGGTGCCGAACGTAGTTCCTGATATCGCAAACTTTTATGTAGAGGTGCGCTCTAACCAGCGTGATTTCCGTGGGATACCAAGTTCCATAAGATGTTAGGTCTATTCTTATATCTCGTCTGAGCTCTAACCAATTCCGATCAGTTTAATGGTTCAGAGTTGGTTAGACAGAGTTCAAGAAAAAAAAATCATTCAGAGTTAATTAGTGATAGTTCAAGAAGAAGGTATCATTGTTGTCTTAATAACTTACACATTTCATAACTGAAACGTTCTGAAGGTCCCTCAGAAGGGTGACCTTGATAACACATGTTAAGGTCATCGGCCATTTGGTTTATCAATACTACTAAAGTACGATACCAATGTTGTTTTCCTAACAACTTCTTAATAATAAAACGAGCGATAACTAAAACTTTTTGGAGGTTATTCAGAAGAGTGCCCTTAACAACATATGTCAAGGTCAACGTCATCGGAGCTGCATCTCCTAAACCTAACTTTTATCCAAAGTTGTTTGTTGTATTTCAGTTGCAGGAAAAGATACTCTCGATTATGAACCGGTATATCGTCACGAGGGAGTATTTTGATAATTACAGAAGAGCTTCTAATTATAATCTGACGCCAGCTGTGATGAGGGATTCAATCGATTCTGTGTCGATTATTGTTACAGATGAATTCGATAATTTGTGCAACGAATGCAGTAAATCTTTAAACGAGACAGTAGTGTAAATGACATAGAAGAACGCAATTCAAATTACTACAGATTATCAATGCTGTTACTTGTTTTTAAGCAGGAGGAAAACGATATTCTCGATTATGAACTAGTATAAATTATATTTTTTCATTCTTTCAACAGAACTACGATATACTTGCTCACACATTTTGCCTTACATAGCTTGGTTATCTTATACAATTAAAGGGGATAAGTATGCGGTAGTGTCTGATAGACTTTATCTGGGTCAAAGTGTATACACAAATGGTATAAAGTGTCTCAGGTCGGATGGTACAACCGAGCAGAAGGTGATTCTGCAAGAAAAAATAAGTGGAAAGATAAGAATATAATTTTTTCGGGCGATGTTTCGTTATTGAGTTAATCGAATTCGAAAATTTTTTGGATACAAAGACTATACAGGGTGCTAATAAAAATTTGGAACACTTTATCAGGGTGGATTCTACACGCCAAACTAATTGTAAGACTAAAATCAAGAATGACGAAATTGCGTTTGAGGCTTCGTTTCAAAGTTATTAATGGTTGTATCATAGGGATTCTAAAACTCGATTATCTCAGTAATTATACCTCCTAAATTTTGGTCTGCATTTTTTTTGTACTTTTGCATAACGAATCACTTAGTTCCCGCTTGTAGTATTATTTCGACGGCATCCTGTATACATATATTATATTCTGTATTTCTGTATAAACATCTTTACTTTGTGAAGTCACATACAATATAGTAAACAATAATTTATTCAAACTGTTTCATTCCTTCCACATTACTTTACATACATATACAGAAAACTTGCAAGCACTCCGGATAACAAACGAGAGTAATATGTCACAAGTAATTAAATAAAATATTTGCTCCAGAAATTTCGTTTTGTAATCCAAGTCTGATCAGCTTAATTAAGCTTGTTATGAAATTTCTCCGGTCGAGCAATGTAATCCGCGAGAAAACTTCAACTACCAAACTAAATCTGGCTGTTAAAACAACTCACATAACTATATCGCCAAACTCCGGGGAATTTAAAGCAAATCTTATTTCCCTGAGCTGGCAGAATAACGCTGAACTTTTCGCATTTTGTTAAATTCTTGGATTTTCGCATGTGAACGGTTGAGCTCGAGATGGATCGTAATATATCGCGATTGTGCCAGTTTCTACTATGAAATCAACAAAGGAGTCAACAAACAGAACCTCCCACCAGTGTTCCAGACGAAAGAAGTCCTCTCCCCCTCTTTTGCTACTTTGATCAATATCGCGAATGTTCGGACTGTGGTTATACTCTGTGAGGGATTAAGAGTTTGTATCAATTAACTTTTTTAGTTGAAATTTTTTAGGTTGGACTGCGATTCAGCGTCCATTTTGAAATCTCTGACCATGGATAGCGGCATGATCTTTACTCCGATTATTAATTTTTTCAAGAATTACTGTTAATTGTATCATAGCATACAGTTTTAAAGACTCAGCCAGTATTCAAAAACAGTCGTATAGTTAAAACAAACATCATAAAGTAACTACAAATGTTGCCTTACACATTAATTTGACGCAACTGAATTTGAAAAGAACTTCTTTGATTTGAAAATTAAAAAAAAGTGGTCATAAAACGATGGTAAAAGTGAAGGTAATGAGGATACATGTGAATGTGCATAAATATTCTTCCTTTTGTCATTTTTAAAGTATATGAACGAATGTGTGAGAATGTGAGTCGTTGTAACTGGACTAGTCGTTAATAACTTCTACTAAGCAATGGATGGGACGTTAAACGATTATTGAGCACAAATGGAAAATAATACATATATTTAAATATTAGCTGTATGTAATAGTAATGACTATTTAATGACCGTCGCATTGAAGTTGCTCTTGCGATTTTATTATATTTAATTGTATCAACGAGAAATTTTACTTTCCCCAGAAGAATGGCAAAAAATTATGGACAAAAGGGAACTATTTCAAGTAACAGATGCTGTAGAAATTCTTCAATATTGATAAAAATTTTCGCTTGAAAAACAGCCATAACGTTTGCATACATGTAAACTTTCATTTCATTTGACTCTGGGGCTCACATTCGAAAAATAACACGCGCGGTAACTTTGAATATCATATTATTGGATCGTAATATATGAAACGTCCGTTTTCTTCAGTTCATGGGGAACACACTTTTGCAGTTTTTCACTTTGCCGAATTGTTTCAAACGTTTTGATACAGTCATAGCACCTGTAATCAATTTATGACACAAGTTCTGCAAGTTGCATGGATCTGCTCCAATTAACATCATCAAATCCTTATTTCTCCTCTTCTTCGTGAATCTACCCCGTTCTTCACTTTCAAGATTGATGCCAAACGAAAATTTAGAAAAGCAACGACCAATAACACCTGCATTATCACTACCCTTCGCAAAAGCAATATTAATATAAGTCGCTACTATGGCCGCAGAATGACCGAATTTAAACTCGTAAAAGCAAATTTCTCGAATTTCATGCGTATTCATTGTACCGTTGCAAAAAGAACATTATTTCAAACAAAAGAGCATATAGCGACATTCAATTTTAGGTAGACCATATTGCAGGCAAATCATATACAGGGTGTCTCAGCTATTTAAGGCGTGGAACTTAAATGGCATTAAGGGGCACCTCTTATAAGGTACATACTTTCTTATGTGTGGAGGAATTTCAGAGATTTCAAGGTCACCTTGATTGTTTTAAACGGAATAACCTATTTTTTGTACCACAGATCGACAGAGTATCAAATTCTGAGTAAAAATGTGTTGACCTTCATACGTTCTAAACCTAATAGTTAACGAGATATTTACAAAATAATCACTGTTATTGAAGTTGAGGGGCATTATTCGAGAACCTATATCTTTCAGATAGTAAGTACGTATTTAAAATTATTTTGTAAATATTTCGTTAACTATTAGGTTTAGGACGTATGAAGGTCAACGCACTTTTACTCAGAATTTGACACTCTATCGATCTATAGTACAAAAAATAGGTCCCTGCATTAAAAAAAATCAAGGTGACCTTGAAATCTCTGAAATGCCTCCACTCACAAAAAAAGCACGTATCTTATAAGATGTACCGCTAAATGCTATTTAAGCTTAAAAATTTTGATAGTGTACCGTTTAGTCATTATTCGAGGTGATCAAGGTAGCAGACACCCTGTATTTCTCGACACAATTCAGGTGAAGAATTTAACACATTCGAACGGACAATTCATAAGTTACGACCTAATAACATGAGGCATAGGGTCCGTGAAACTTCTCTCGTCGTTCGAATTGTTTTTTCCATTGATCCCGCCAGTCGGACAGATTCGAAAAGGTGGGAACGGTAATTTCCCAGTCGGTCATAGAACATACCTGGTCATTTCTTTCTATGGCCTCCTTAATGACGGTCGTCCATCTTGTCGCTGCCTCTTCGGTGTCCGCCGCCAGCCGAAGCGTCGGCGCGCCCTGCTTCTTTATCGCGAAACTATGTAACCTCAGTTCAGGCGTTTGCTCCACGTCGTACTTTATCAGCATTACAGCCCCCACTGGCTGTGAATCCTGCGAATGGAATCGCACCCTCGTGAGCCATTCGTCGAATAAACGATCGTCTGTAAACACTTGTCATCTCGATGGATGCAATTCGCGGGTAAAAATGGGGGCGAAATGGGTTTCGTTCTGACGCGGTGTGCTTCGAAGGCCTTTTTCTCGTGATGAACGGTGGGCTTACGAGTTAGGGGCTACCGTGTCGCGTACGTTACATTTATCAAATTGTTTTTGGTTATAATTAGATTGTTGAGTCTATGCACAGAATTTAATAATGGTCTTTATTGAGCTTTACAATAAATTCCATATTATTTTCGTATACTGAAATTTTTAACACTATGCCGTCCGCACGTGTAATCAAAATTCTTTTGTTTGGCTCCGGTAAGATTCGTGCAGATCTTGTTGCTTGTCGCCGGCGTTTTTCGAGTTTCACGAGAGACCATAAAACGTCATGTTTTACTGATCTCAATAGTTCTTAATCCTGTCCCTCCATTTTCACGAAATTTCGAGAATATATGTAAATATATATAAGATTTTTTAGTATTATATAGGTATATGTTTTATTTATATATTATTTTTCTGAATACTTCATATTTCTTTTTTTAAATGGTAGGAAGCAAAACAATCTCCGAGGTGTAAAGGAACTCCAAAACTTACACAAGCGATACTAGCGTTTGTGCGATAACGTTGCACGCGACACCAACGTGGTGTCGCCGGAATTTGTCTGAAAGTTTTCGCGTGGCACCAACGTGGTGTCACCGTATGGCATAGTGTTAATACAGAAAATATACTACCATTCATTCAGGGGAAAAAATAAGTGTTAAGGAATGAGTTGTTTGGTTGACAATTTGTTACATCGAGGATGCTGTGTACAATTCTTAAGAAGCTCGAACTGTATTTTCAAGAACAAACTTATATAAAAATACTCACAATCAGTGAGAATGAACCAGCATACTTTAAGGAAGTGATTAAACGTGTTAGAGGATTTCGTATCTTCCTCTTTAAATAGATTCGAATAACTGATTCTCAAAGTGCAACACAGCCACAATAATTTAATGACTGATTTATTGTGGACAACTATCGTTACTGTGCACTTTTGAATTCCTATATCCTTCATATTAATTTCTTTTCAAACGTCAAAACTTAGGGTCACGATACTTTCCAACGCTCTACACTCGTGAATGGTGAATCGCCAATATTGTTATTGACTTTTATACAGGTAGATCTCGATTAATACGAGTTTAAATAGTGCGATATTCGATTTATGTAGTATGAATTACAAAAGGTCGCATTTAACGCGAACAAAAATTTAATTAATGCGAGGTTCGCCAAACTTCCTTCATTTGGTACAACTGTCGAAATAATTAATCTTTTCTTTTAACGGTCTTTTTCTGTTTCACAGAGACGATGAGTAAATTGTCTCTGAACTTTTTCTGTTACATAGTCATGATGCGTCGTGTCAAGTTCTTTAACGTATTCTGAGTTCTACATTCTATTTAACATTTTATGCGTATGATTTTTAATTCAAATTTAATAAAATAGATATGAAAAGATATATCTAAAAACGTGTATCGTATATTTTCTTTAAATTAGAACCAATTCCTGTATTTCAAGTATTCGAATAATGTCATCAATTTGTGGGATTTATTACTCGCACTAATCGAAACCTACCTGTATTTGGTTACACGTTTTTCAATAAAAATTATTGGCAATATTCACCATTTGGTATGCTGCTTTGGAGCTTGATCTAAATTTTTTACGAGGCACTGTTTGTTTTACCAATATTTAAAGTAAAACTATTTAAAAATACTTCTCTTTATGTATTTACACTTGAATGTACTATGTCAGATTCAAAGACAAACATTATAAAAAGCATTGAGCAAAAGAATATAAACAATAATAGTTTCTAAAAGTTAGTATCAAATTCAAAAATGTACCACCAGTATGTACATTCAAAAATGTGCTTACATAAATACCTAAGGATATTTTAATTAATAAAATTCTTTGAAGTTAAACAAAATATTAAATGCCACTAAAAATCCGACATTTCATATGAAGACCAGAGAGGAAAAACATGATAAAGCACATTTTCCATTCCTTCTTATGGAAGCAATTTTAAAGTTAAAACGCTTTGGACCAATCCCATGTTACCAAATCAGTATTTTTATTTGGTTTCCACATTAAATATGTGTTTTTGTGTTAACTTTTGGAACATTTCAACAATGCTGATTGCCATAAGATCAGTGTTTTTATAAAAACGCTTGGATTTTTACAAAACTTCGTAGACATATCAGCTTTTTCGCCTATTAATAACTATATCTTCAAACAATTATTTCTCAGGTTACTCTTAAATTGTCATATAACATCTTAAATTAAGTTTTAAATATTGAGCCTTTCGTGGTTTTATCAAATTATTCTCCTGTTTTACTTGGACTTGTCATGATATTTCCTCGTACACCTATTTCAAAAAGGTTCGGAAGACAAAATTATAGGACCCTAAGAAGGATGGTCGTTCTCCTTTTCAGCTATATCATATTAAAGTACTGCCTTTTAGCCACCAGATGGCATAAAAATCAGAAACTCAACAGAAATGGACTTATCGTGTTCTTCCCCCCATGGTCTTCATATGCAACGACCTAATAACTCTAAAGTTACCGTAGACTTCCTCTTATCCGGTCTCGCTTTAAACAGTCCCCGCTTATTCGACCATATTTTCGTTGAAAATCCCAGCGAGAAAATAATTCATACACTCTTCGAATTTAATTTTGAAATATATAAAAAATTTCTTAAGCCTCTCGTATGCAGGGTGTCCCACCAAAGGTCGAGCACCTAAATATCTTCTCTATTTTTTATGGTATGAGAAATGTTTCAAACAGAATTCGAATGGTTTCAGAAGGGGAGTAGCTTGCATGGGACATTCTCTTCTATGATTAATTTAAAAAAAATTTGTTTGCCAGACCGCATGCATTTTTTTATTGCATCATGTAACACGTATTAAAGTGCAGTCAAATATGTCTACCTTATGACCTTGACCTGAACTTGAAGAACATTGAGAAAATAATTAAATATATCGCCACCGATAGAAAGTAAGTTTACATACCATACTAACATTATTTCAGAATTTCATTAGTTGTTCAATGTTGAAATTCACCTGGAGGTCATATGTTAGATATATTTAAAAGCACTTTAACACATGCTACATGATGGAAAAAAAATACAGGCGACCTAAAAAAATCGAAAAAAAAAAAAATGTTCCATGTACAATACTTCTAAAACCATGGAAACAGTGTTTGAAACGTTTCTCATATCATTAAAAATAAAGCAGATATTTAGGTGTTTGCCCTTAGTCGGGATACCCTGTATAACGCTAAATGTATTCTTTAATATATTGGACCTTGTTTAAAAAGTTATTAATTTTATTTGTTATTTATATGTTAACGTCAACGTGTTTTATATGGAGTCGAAGGCAGATCGTCTGTCGCTCATTGACTATTGGAGAATTTATATACATATAGTACAATATAATATATCCTATCCGTATAGGAGACTAAACGGATCTGGCGTCGCATGATGGCGGGAGACCACGTCGGGTCTTTCGGCTATCGGTGACGTCGAGGGTTGTTTATGTGAAACAAATGAGTGAAAGTTTAGAAATGGCAAGCAGCTCGACGCTGTGTTGCCTTTAAAATAAGGACATTGTTTCTGAGGGATCTGGTCACGGAGTCTGGAAGGCAGCGATGCCTTTTGATAAAAGGACTGTGGTTGACCGCATCAGCACTTATCCCAGAACCTCGAAGGAGCGTAGTTCTTTTAAAAATCAAAGACCTCAAACTAATATATCTAACATATATTAACTTTATAAACGATATTTGGCATATGTTTTGGGATTAAGCAGCCATTCGTTCATCCAGCCAGGGTTCGGTCCCACAGAAACCGGGTAAGAAGGAGTCTACTATATGTCATAGGTACTAAACTACACCCATCTAACCATCAGACGGCATCAGAAGCAGAAACTCAATAGAAATGGACTTACCATATCGGTCATTTGCTACAACAATGAGATAATTAAAAATTTACAGTCTCTAAGATAGTATCGAAAATACGGTTGTTGTCTGTAATTTTTATCGATTAAATCCTGTAAGTAAGCTTCCAAAACTTGCCACACCAGGACAGTCATTGTAACACGATGTTCGTACACAATAATTATACGGATCAAAACATTCAAATTCGTTTTCCCTAAAATCGTGATTTTCGAGTTACGTCGTTGTTGCAACAAATGATCAGTACGTTTTTTCCCCTGTGTTCTTCAATAACAATAGCTTGAAAGTTACACGTAAATTGATAGAATAAATGAACAATCGCATCACTTACCGCGTCAGTCTTGTAATAGTAGAGGCAATTGTCACGACGCAGAGCGAACCACCGTCGTACCCACTTGTCCGTGTTCGAGGACGACGCGGATTTCCTCCAAAGGTAACCGGAACACAGCGGCATCTCGTCGGCGCCCTCCTTTATCCCTGGCCTGGTCAGTCGCGGTGCCAGCACGTTGCAGGTTCTCGCGACTTCGAGTTCAAGGACATCGGTGTCGGAGTGCGCGAGCCTCACGACTTCCGAATGCGTCGCGTCCATGACACTCTCCCCGTTCACCGACATTATAATGTCGCCGACTTCGAGGCCGGAGCCCTCCGCCGGTGTGTCGGGCTCGATGGCGGATACCACCACCGGCCGCGAGCCGTGAATACGGATACCGAACTCACCGCCAGCATCGCGTCTCACTACAACCCTCTTGTCGCTCTCTGCAATTAATACCGTCATTGTTAGTTGATTGTCACTGTATCATGACGCGAAATATGCGTGCCAGTGTCCTTTTGTTATGCAATCGCACAAGCAATATGAATCATTTCGTTCCCACCGTAGCCATTGTGGCTACATATTATAAATTATATAAAATATTAGTGTTATGTATTTTTCCATATCGGCGAGTATTTGAAACTTTTTTTCTAGTCTTGTATAGATGGTATAGTTTATGAGATATTTAATGTTAAAATTGTAGCCTATATAGAGTGATTCCTCGATGAGTGCGACACGTGGAATAATGTTGTTCCCACTACTGGGGGACAGTCCCCTAGGGAATCGATCAAAATAGAGTAAGCAGAGATTCGGCTTCGGGCAAAAGACAAATTTATGAGGGACTGAAAACCTTTAAGCCTTGCTGAGAATGCTTCGAAGCAGTTCCGATTACGTCGCACTAATCGAGATATTAGGTACTGTATAAAGTGTGTCCGATCAGGTGGAATAACCCGATGGGATGTGATTCTACATGTAAAAATAAGCCCAAAATATAGAATAAAGTTTTCGAAAGTCATCTAGCACGTATTTATTCGTGTTGACAAGTAGAAACGGAATGTAATCAACAGACACGTTAACTATGTATGTCCTATTCAATTACACGTGCATCGAGCAAATTTTCAAATTTGCTTGTCTCGAAAACGAAGGATCGTACGAAAAAATTGTATGCCACATCTTCGTTTCATTTTTACATGTAAAATCGAATTTTGTCGCGTTGTACCACTAGTTTGGAAACACCTTGTATATTGCCTAAAACTTTAACATCATCGGCTTCAGAATTCCAAGCTCTATCACTGTGCTGACCATCATTAAAGAGTCAGCGCTACACCTGGGGACCTCTTCTTCTTAGATATCTATGGCAGACTAAACCGTTTTGGTGCGTTGCGTCGCCGTGCCGGAGCGTCACTCGGGATAAATCGTACGTGTGGATAAACAGTAATCGGTTGTTTTTGCCAAGAATTGACGAAATATGGTTTTTGCTATGTATGTAAGAAGTTTAATAACTCCGAATACCAAAATGTACGACTGCTGTATTGGACGGTGGAAGGTGTGTGTTTAACTCCATGGTCTTGACTCAAAGTTGGGCAAAGTAAGATTTAAATAATGGTTGGAGTTTAAATATTTATTAACAGTTTCACGACTGAATATTTTAATGTTCAACCTAATAGCCGATAACATACTACTACGTCTTATCCAAAACTGAACCTAATAGTTGGTAAGGTAATATTATGGTTTCTATTTTATTATGGTTCGGAAATGGTTATCTATAGACTGCGACTGTTTGTGCAAATATAGAATCTCGAGATTTAATTTACTAAAGGCAGAGTCAAACAAGAAATGTTTCCTCCATTAATAGTTGCTTCAGGTTTCAAATTAGTTAAAAACCACATCGCATTTTATTATACTTTTATTATAATTTATTTTAAACACTCGTGCATGCTATAAATGCATAAAATCCGCAGTCTAATTACCTATTAATTTCTTTAAATGAAACGTTACGTTTTTTTTTCGGTATTTACATGAATAAATGTCCAGCTCTCAATTCAGATTTATAATACTGAAATATGTAAAGCAACTGCATCGAATGCCAATATTATCTTATAATTCGTATCATTGCGCGAAGAACTTAAAACTAATTTTATGTTACTTTAATCCGCAAACGTTGACTGGCTTACCTATACCACCGACAGCGGAATAGATCACAAGCAAAAACACAAGTGACAATTAAGCCGGTTTTTTTAAAGTCGATTTTTCTTTATTTCGAGGTATTTAGTGTATTGCATTTTACCCTTTTCAGAACATTGTTAAATGCTAATGAGCTTGTTTTGCGCTTTTCAGATTCCAGGTACGTTCAAGTTTGACCATTTTTATAAATATTATTTAAGAAAAGCAATGTTTTTATTAACTACAAATGGACGTATACTACATATAATACACTTTCGTAAGTAATAAATTGCCAGAAACATGACTAATACCAAATTTAAATTTATATTTCAGTTGAAAAAGATGTTTCTGAAATTGTGATTCAAAAAATTAAGTAATAACAAATTATAAGAAAAACAATAAAGGTATATTATCGAATGCAAAAACATACGCACTTGCCGTCATATTAATGCTTTGCACTTTACTCTATTCAAAAACATTGTTAAACTCCAACAAGTTCATTTTACGTTTATTAGTAAACTGCAAATAGACTTCTATCAGTTTGAAAAAATAAACATTTATGCAATTCCATTTAACAGCCGAATTTCTTTTAACTGAATCATGAGAATATTGTACTGTATCAACTTTATTATTATAAACACAAAGAGAAGGCATCCATCTGTTGCTGAAACTAGCTGTAACTAATTTTTTTTGAACTTATAAACATTTACAAAAGAAAACAGCTCAATTATCAATGGCTCAGGCCAATCGTGAACTGCGGTCCATACCATAACTGAATCGAGGCGTGCTTAAACGTTGGTTCGAAATAGGTTAACCCTTGCGTTACAGCGGAGTTGCCCGCAAAGTGCTACCACTGCGCGACAGCTCGAACCGCATGTGTGCGCCTCTTCGCGGTTAGAGTATACCTGTTACTGTTATTATTGATCGGTGTAACAACAACGGAGGAATATCGGTTCGTTTGTTTCACACGGAAAACTATAAATGCTTTGTTAAAACTGAAGATATTAAAGAACTCTGACTAGTTGCAACCATTGCCACCTGTGCGACATAAACCCCCAAAATAACGGTAATAAATTGATCTTGAATGACTTTGAGAGACTAACATGTTAGGTTAACGAATTCATCACATAAATGAAAACATATGGATCTAACGCAGTGAAAACATACAGGTCCGTTTAAAAAAAAAGCAAAGGTCACCTTGAAATCTCGGCGGCACGTCCAGCTAGATAAGACTTGTGACCATCATAAAATGTCTACCTCGAAACAAAGCAAGTTCTGCTGGAAACATTTTTTGGAATAATGAATAGTTCGGAAAATGATTGTGTGTAAATATTCAAATGGGACATTTTGTATACATTTCTTATAGATATACTGGGTGAGATACCTAACTTGATCACCTCGAATAACTTTTAAATTATGCGTTGTACAAAAAATTATTTCTACAAACGTTGCATGGTATCAAGGGGGACATCGGTACATAACTCCTTCATAAGTGGACGCGTGTAGGAGATTTGAAGGTCAACATTGTTTTATTAAATGGAATGCCCTATCTTTTTTACAGCAATTCGAAAGAGCATTAATTCCCAAGTAAAAGAGTATGAAACATTGTTTGTCCTAAAGATAATACTTAACAAGATATTAACGAAAGTTTGATCCGCATAAGATCGCGTTGAAAGATTAATGTCACGGAGTGATTCGCGAAGACGACGGTGTTTATTTGACAATGTTTATCGACATGTCACGTACTCTTGTTTCAATGCTGTCGTCTACGATATTGTCGTTCAATTTTAAAAAAATGAGGATGTTCTTGAAATGTGGAAAAATATGACCTTGAGAAAACAGAAGTTCGTTATCACAATAATTTCCCCACTGAAGCAAACAATAGTTCGTTTACACATTTTCTCGTATCATTAAAAACAACAGATATTTCAGGTAAAAATTTTAGATAACTCACCCTGTATAACGATAAAAAAAAAATCTCTTCACACTAATTCAGTATGAAAATGACATTCTACGTGATCAAATGCCGTTATAATATTCTCTGAACGGTAACATGTGGTGTTATCAGTTGAAACAAAACATGAAATCATTAAGAGATTGAAAAGTGGCGACAGTGTGACAAACTTAGCAGCAAAATATAGACATCATAAATAGGGAACGAAAAATTATAAACTACATAGGTTTATAATTAGTAAACTTATTATATTTAAAAAAAGGACACGTTGTATGTAGATAATATACAACGTATCCTAATTTTTATTCATTTGTATTATTACGCTTAAAATATATGCAGTTTTACACGATAAATTTTGTCGTTATATTATCCGAAAATTCTGTTATCCGAACACTTTTTTCTCCCTATTAATTCCGATAATTATCGTTCTCCTACAATCAGTTACAGAATAATCATCTTCTTTATGATTTTGCGCATCTTAGAATTTAATTTACCGCCATTTTCTATGCATACGTGATTTATAGACAAAGAAATTGGCAACTCCGATGATTTTCCGGTGGTTTCTTAATCGTTCTGTTTTATTACGTAACCGTATAGTCGAGTCGCTGGTACCAGACGTTCTGATTCACTCTAAGCAATTCGTCCGAGGGCCAGTCACGCAGATGATGTCTTTTTGAATTTGAACTCCGGATCATTGCACTCACAGGACGCTGGCCAAAAATTTTAGAACATTGCAGCAGTTCGTGTTGTAAATTGAAAAACAATAGAAGAACGTTCAACTGAAGTATTACATTTTTAACATAGAGATAATAACGTTATAAATAACAATTTGTCGTCAGTTTGAAAGAACTTGGACGTTGGAAAAAAAACAGTTTTCATTTGTAGTAAATTTATTTGTCGCCATACAAACGCTATTAGACGTTTGTTTATATGTTATGAAATAGCAGATTTCATTATTCAATGAAAATTATGAACGAAGGTCACTATTTTTAATTGTAAACGGGAATGTGAACAATAAAACTATTTGCAGATCATGTAAAATTAATTAAATACCGAATCAGTCTCTTTTGGTGCACTCAAAAGTTAAATAGTTTATATAAAATGCAGAAAACATAATTAAAAAGTATATGATTTAGGCCATATTTACCAATTGTAGTCACATAAAATTGCGTTTCACTGGTGAAGATACACAAAATCTGTTGAAACCTTTTTCAATATGATTTTTGTAATGTTTAATATAATATTAACTTAATAATAGTTCTTATGTGCCTATTTAGAAATATAATATTAATTCAATTGACATTTAATATAACATTTGAGAAGCCTGTG